GGCACTTGTTTCTAGTAGCTTCTTGTTACTACTAGTAAGGCACTTGTTTCTAGTAGCTTCTTGTTACTACTAGTAAGGCACTTGTTACTAATAGCTTCTTGTTACTAGTAGTAAGGCACCTGTTACTAGTAGCGTGGCACTTGTTACTAGTAGCTTCTTGTTTCTAGTAGTAAGGCACTTGTTTCTAATAGCAAACCTTGTTACTACTAGTAAGGCACCTGTTACTACTAGCGTGGCTCTTGTTACTAGTAGAAGGTAATTGAGCACAAATGGCTTTGCCTTTATTTGCAGTTGTCGAGGCAGTGCTATGTGGCTTACTGCAGTTGCAGCCGGCGCAAAGAAGAAATTTGCATCTCAGCTTGCCATGCATCCTCTTACAAGAAAGATCTAATATATATATATATGTGTATACCCATAGTCCAGTTAAGTTTCCCTAAACAAAAAAATCTAGAAACCAAATGATTAGTGCGAGCGTGAGCTATCCTGCGTCCATACTACTAGTAGCTTAAGTAAGGTACTAGCTACCGATTGCTACTACTAGCCACCTCCCTAGCCAACCTACCTCACCTCTACTAGCGGCCTACCCCCGGGCTTACAACAAAAACGCAAAACAAAAAAGATCGGAATAAATTCTGAGCATTTCAGTCCCCTCAGGTCGGAGCTTCTAAATCACCAATGGTTTCAGGAGGACGAGTGGGATGAACAGCCGCTCAAGCGCCATCGCACATTGTCAACTAGCGACCGGCCCGCATCGAGGAAACTGTTTATGTGGCGGCCCGGTGTGTGGCACTGGGTTTGGAATAATTATATACTGTGGGTTTGGCAGCTGCCCCTCGATGTCCAGGTGATGTTGTTGTCACGCCTTCTGGGATCTCGAACATGGAAGTGACTCAGCTGGCTAGAATTTTGCAGTCTTATCTCAAGCAGGTACATGCAACTTCGGCGTATTCTTCAGTGTTATTTATGGATTCTGAGGCGATACCTCCAGTCAATGGTCAGCTGGAAGAGTGCAAGGAAGGGGGCCAAGATTAAAAGTCAATGATCGATGGATAATTTTGCACAGAACAGTGCCCTTGTTGAAGTGGACTGTGGACAAATGTCGGTGATTCTTCATGGTGCGAGGCCTCATCTCCAGCGTTTGAAGAGGTGGATGCTTCTCCTTGTGACTCCCCCTTTCCATGCAACTATCCTGCAAGATGCGATCCACAGGCCACCGCTTGCTAGAATTGCCAAGGCAGAGAGAGAGAGAGAGAGCGAGTGAGGGAGTAGGGAGGGAGGGTGGGAGGGAGAACAAGAAGAAAGATAGACATGGTCACATGATGTGAGCTGAGGTTCTCCATTCCCTTGCGAATCTCCGTTGCCTTGTCCATCGCCCTTGCCTGGGCCATTTGATGCTGAAGGACACTGCTGAACAGACCCAAAAGCTCTGGACATCCAGAGGCTGAGGAAACCCAACATGCTCAAACCTGCCTTTGAGTTCCCACAGCTATCGCCTTGGTTTGAGGAGTGGCATCACCTGGAGTCTGGACACCCTTTGCAGTGGAGGTGGCGCTCAAACTCAGTGACGTGCAACCGCCTGTGGAATTGCAGCCGGACTACATGCAGGTCCGCACCGTGGGTGTCTTATGTTGCAATGACGAAAGCGCGGATGCTGTTGCGGATTGCAGATAGAGTTGGCTTGGTGGCAGGTTCACCTTGTGATTCCAGATCGCTTTGCCGGCTTCATCCTGGGAAAGAATGGATCCCGAATCCAGAAGACAGCGTCAAAGAGCGGATGCAAGGCTGGCACTTTGTGCATGGCTTCTGACTATTCCACTCGTGTCCTGCTAACCTGCACAATTGTGTGCCTGCCTTCAGGTGTGGATGACGAAAAGAAATGGTTCACAGGATCGCCGTGTAATTGTGATTGGGAATTACAAGCACCTTCGCTGAACTTCACAGGCGCAGTTTCGGCTGCTGAGAGATTGCCAGAGCAAATGCCTTTAACAAGGCATGCGCAGACAGCCAAGGCAGTGCAAGGTTGCTCAGCAGATTGTCCATGAGCAATTGTCGAGACTTGCCTGGCAGTGTGAGAGCACTTTGCAACCTCCTTCGCACAGATGGACGCGCCGGCATGTGACGGTGTGCTTGCATCGAATCCAAGGACTGCCATGCAGGTCGATTGGCAGGATGCGCAAGCTGACGTCATTGTGTTTGTAAGATCTGAAGCGGCCGGAATGGTGACAGGCAAGCAAGGCGCGGCCACTAGATTCCCCCAACGGTCCAAACTACCATCCACTGACTTGTGTTATGCGGATTTCAGGAATTCTGTGGATTAAACTGATTAAACCCAGGAACTGCAATAATGGCAAGCGTCTGTGCAACTATATTTAGCGTATTCTGGTGCAACTCATCAGGCTTTGTTCTGAATCAGATCCGGAAGCAGTCGGGAGCACAAGTCCAGCTGCTGCGAGATGAGGTGCAGAGCACACGCCCCTGTTGCCCAGCAGCACATTTGAGTAGGCCCGTAGGCTCGTAGCTGTTTAATAGCTTGTACCACTACAATTGTTCGGATTTTATCGTTTTGCATTTGCTTTGTCTTTGTGTTTCACAAAACCCTTGACTGTGCTTCCTTCGCAGCCCATCAACACCCCAGCAGCAAACCACAACCAAACACAAGATGAGGGGAGGGACATAGAAGCAGTCTGCCCAGAGCAGATCAGGTGAGTTGGACGTGTGTACTCAGGTATCATCAGTGGAACGCTGCAGAGCATACTTAAAGCTCAAAAGCACATTTTTGAATTGGTGTGCCCTTGGCTGCAGCAGTTGGTTCATAAAGCTCTCAGTTTTTGGTGATCGGACTTCGTCTGTCAACTGAGGCGGGCTGCACCAGTGGTGCGCCCTGCAGACTCCTCGCATGGGGCCATTCGGTGACGATGTGGCTTGAACAGTGCAGCACACCGCGACAAGGGAAGCCAAGTTTGCCGAGCGGCTGCTTTTTATGTGTTCAATGCCTGGCTCTGACCTCATTAGCATCAGGTCCCAGGTGAAATGGTGTGTGTGAGCTGTTCTTTATTCGTCACGGGATGTGTCGTGTGGTGTGCCACAAGCATCAGAGCCACGTAGTATGGCATTTATTGCCTGACATTGCCACGTTCGTTGAACCTTGGAAACTGCTCGCTGAATCATGGCAATGCACAACTGCACAACATTTGTCGGTTTTCATAGCATTGCTTGGCACTGCAACTACTACTTGGACATGTGGCATGTTTCCAAGCACCTTTAGGCCTGTGCATGCCTTGTTCGTATGCCTTTGCTCTTCGCATGCAGGTGGAGAAGTAAAGCTTAATGTGCAGGTTGTGCAGCCAAAATTGTGACGCATTCTATGCGTGATCCAGTGTGTGCAGATATAACCTCCACACACACATGTCCTCATCCATGCTCCATTTTTGGCTGCTCAGTGGGCGCAAGCCTTACCTGCAAGTTGTAAATACGATGCTTCATAGCATTCTTGGTGGAGGTGCATGTACAGTTTGCTTGAGCTGTAGATGCCTACAGGGTGGCGCTCAGCATGCTTGCTCAAAGAAAGCAACTTCGGAGGGGATTTGCTTTGAGCTTCTCGCATCGCTTGTGCAAAAATGAACTTGTGGTGCGATCGAGGAAACCTTTGGGGTATAGGGCTCAATCCAGCGGCCAGTCCTTTGATTTTGCAACCGTGCCCGCCTACGACGCCTTCAGATCAAGGGCCAGCTGCCCAAGTCCAAGCTCAGATGGGAGATGCCGCAAACCATGATCTTTCTGCCAACCAAGCACTGCGTCGCCAACTGGAGGAGGCGACCACAAGAGCGGAGAGAGGAGCTCTCGAAGCTCAAAGCCCAACGACTTCAGCCATGACTTCAACCATGTCACCCCACTTGCAGGAGAGTCCTGCAGTGGACATGGCGGATGCAGTGCAAGTGGGCAGCGCAAGTGGTGACACCAGTGGCGTTTTGGCGCCACTCTCGACAGTCCCCGGAGCTGAGCGGGTGAAGCTGACGGCGGGCTTGTCACCACGGCCAAGACCTTCTGAGGCCATCGAGCGTGAAGTGGAGCTGCTGGAGACCTTTGCTGAGGCAGCAAAGCGAAGCACTTGGAACCCGGATTGGCAAACACTGGGAAATCAGTGGAATCCACGCCATCAGCTTGCGTATAATAACGATGAGATGAGCCAAAACTGCCGGTGCTACTTTGATAGATGGCTTGACCATAGAGAACTGCTGCCTCCAGATGCCAACCTCCAAGTTCAGAAGCCAACTTGGCGTTTGGAGCCTGATCCAATTCCAGCTGAGCAGAGAGAAGCTGAGAGGTTGGCAAGTTCGGTCTACTCTCCCACCGGCCCTGGTTTGCGAGGATCGCCAAAAAGTGGAGAAGAGATAGGACAGGAGAAGTCGATCACATCGATGTCAGGAGAGAATGTGATCAAGAGGCGCTCAATGCGATTGTCGCGGGACAAGCCCTGGATGACGCAACCAGCCAGATTCTGGCAGCTGCTACAGCCAGAGGAGACCGCGGAATCCATGGTGTCAACTATGACACAGACGGATTTCCCCCAAGTCCTCCAGCCAAATGAAGCCAGGGAGCAAGGATGGAATAGCCACCATGACGTTGTTTGGAGTAACTTCCAGAATTTGCAGGGTGTCATTCTGAACCCGGCTCCTGTTCGGTCGTACTTCGATCGACCTCGCGAACCAGATATTGGTGCGCGAAGTGCTGAAAAGAAGCCCGAAGTGAGGAGAAGTGGAGATGGACGAGATGGCGTTGTGCGCATTTTGCCACTGTGGCGGTTGGAGCCTTTACCGGGTGTCTCGAACGTTGAGAGCCCGAAGGACAACCTTTGGCCTCCGATCCCTCGATTGCCTCCCCGATCTGGAAGTCCTCTTCGTCCACGTGAGGAAATCCTAGGCCCACAGTGCCTTGTCTTGTGCTTTGTATATGGTTTATGGATGTGTGCACAAGAGCCCGTGGATGTCATGCGCAAGTGGGCTTTGTGCATGGAAGATTGAATCTTGCGGGCATAGTGGCAGCACTTTTAAGGCACGAAGCTTCTCCCGAGTTCAATCACAAGTCCACTTGGAGCTGTCCGCACAGCGCTCAGTTGATGAATGGCACACTCATAATTGCATGTCTCAAGTCAGACTCATTCCTTTCCTGGATTGGTGCATGCATGGTTGCCTTCAATTGCCTTTCCAGGTCTTTGTTGACAACTGCCCCTAGCGATGAGATGGTCGAGAGAAAGCAAGGATGGAATGGTAGACACCAGTAGCTTGGCTCACGCTTTTGCATCTTTTTACCACTTCGGACTTTGCATTGCTCAAGAGACTTTCCTCAGGCTTGCTTTCCAAAATCAGGCCTCGGACTGTGAGAGAGAGAGAGAGAGAGACACAGAGAGAGAGAGAGAGAGAGTGAGTGAGTGAGTGAGTGAGTGTGTGTGTGTGTGTAACCCTTGGAATCATAGGGATCCTTTCGGATTGTTTTAGCTTCACAGTTGTTTTCCTTGTGTAGCAGGGGGCTGGAGTGTGCTTCAGATGTCTCCAGCCAACGAAGACGCATCTGTCGCACAGTGATATAGTTCTGGGACGCCAGAACTACGTACCTGCCTTTTTCAAACGGAATGGCACGAGGCTAAGCCCAGAACCTCACTTGCTGCAGACTTGAGCGATCGTCGTCACTTCGCCCTGTTCGTCGTCTTCGACCTTACGCTTTTGGCCTCCTTTCCTTTTAAGACCTCCAGGATTCGATGGTCCTTACTGGTTCTCTTAGGAAATGGAACCCTAGGCCGGCGTGTGGCACCGCTTTCAGTTCAGTACACCCTATCCTAAGTGTGTGTGAGTGAGTGAGTGAGTGAGTGAGTGAGTGAAAGAGTCAGTGCGAGTGTGAGTGTGAGTGTGAGTGTGAGCGAGTGAGTGAGTGAGTGAGTGAGTGAGTGGGTGGGTGGGTGGGTGAGTGAGTGAGTGAGTGAGTGAGTGAGTGTGTGAGTGTGTGAGTGTGTGAGTGTGAGTGTGAGTGTGAGAGTGAGAGTGTGAGAGTGAGAGAGTGAGTGAGTGAGTGAGTGACTGAGGAGTGAGTGAGTGAGTGAGTGAGAGTGAGTGAGAGTGAGTGAGTGAGTGAGTGAGTGAGTGAGAGAGAGAGAGAGAGTGTGAGAGTGTGAGAGTGTGAGAGTGTCAGAGTGTGAGAGTGAGAGTGAGTGAGTGTGAGTGTGACTGTGAGTGTGAGCGTGTCAGCCAGTGAGCGAGCGAGCGAGCGAGGGAGGGAGTGAGTGAGAGTGAGAGTGAGAGTGAGAGTGAGTGAGAGTGAGAGTGTGACAAGAACGAGCAATCCGCGTGTTTGCTGCAGGAAGTTTCGAGATTGGACCGGTGCTACTTTGATCGCTTTCGTGAGCACGCTGAGCTTCGTTCTCCGCACTCCCCACCACACGCATCTTGCTCAGTGCAGCCCTGAGCAGCGAGTTGACCAAACTGACCCCCCGTTTGTTTGGCAAGCCACAGCTCAGTCTCAACCTGCAGACTGCTCGAACCCTTGCAGGTGTGGAGCCTTGGCAGGGATGTCTCCACAAAGGAGAGGTTGCAAGCCTTGTCCGAGTCGTTCAAGAAGTTATGGTTCCAACATGTTGGGGGTCATGTATTGGGGTTATGGAGTCAAACTGCGTAGGAGTCGCTGAAAACAATGATGGCAAGCGGCGATGCGCGCTTCCACACAGACGGAAAATGGATGCAACCCAGAAAAACGATCTGGATTTCATCCACTACGCCCACCAATTACATATGCGTGTGTATATATACAAAAATATATATATACTACTGACTAGTAACTTAGGACTTGTCGGACATACACGCCAATTCCAAAAGCCTATGTCATCAGGATTGATCCAACATTGGCATTTCCTCTTAAGGCCTATGTCATCAGGCCACAACCATGATATTCATAGAAATACGTATGAGGTATTCAAGGAAGCAACACATAGTCGCACCCTATGTCACCACTGTGTCACCAGGGTGCCAGGCAGTGGTATCTAGCATTATTTAGCTGTTTTTTTACATTTTTGTCGAGGAGGTATCCACAGGTCCTATGACACCAGGTTTCCCAACCCAGACATTTTTTTTGCTCGATATGTCAGGGCACATGACTTAGCCCTGGGGGTAGCCAGATTGGTATGTCACTTGCATCACGTTGGCCTAAGTCATTAGACAGTAGTATATATATATATATATATTTCTCCAGATAGCGAAGCTATGGGGTTCTTACTTCAAATAGCAATGAGTTGCCCGTGCGCGCTTTCGAGACAGGTTGCTGGTGCTGGGTGCCGGGTGTGGGTGCCGGGCGCCGGGTGCTGTGAGCTGGCTGTGATGTGGTGGAGACAGGTTGGTGGTGCTGGTGCCGGGTGCCGGTGCTGGTGCTGGTGCTGTGAGCTGGATGTGGACGTGGTGGTGGCGGGTGCCGGTGCTGGTGCTGGTGCTGTGAGCTGGCTGTGCATGTGGTGGAGACAGGTTGCTGGTCCCGGTGCTGGGTGCTGGGTGCCGGCGCTGTGAGCTGGCTGCGCATGTGGTGGAGACAGGTTGCTGGTGCTGGGTGCCGGTGCTGTGAGCTGGATGTGCGCGTGGTGGAGACAGGGTGCCGGCGCTGTGAGCTGGCTGTGCACGTGGTGGTGACACCCGTGCTGGCGCGTGGTTGCCGGGTGCTGGGTGCCGGGGGTGGTGCTTGGTGCTGGGTACCGGTGCTGGGTGCTGGTGCAGGGTGCCGTGAGGTGGCGTGGCGGTGCTCGGCGCCCGCTTCTGACATTGAAGTGATAACAACCGCCGCTTCTGACAGTGAAGGGTGACAATCCGCTGCTTGTAGCGGCGAAGGGCGACCAACCGCCGCTTCTGACAGTGAAGTGCCAGCAGTCATGGGCCGCATGAACTTATGCGCGCAACATCATACGGTGTTGTCGCTTGAGCGCTCTTTGTCTATTAGCGCGCGCTGGATACTGCCTTGCCTTGGCCGAGTGAAGCCTACGGGCTTTGGAGTTTGCGCGCACAAACTTATACGCGCAAGATCATACGGCCTTATCGTTCTACAGATCGTTGCTTCAAGCATGCTACAAAATCAATAGTCGCGCTGGATACTGCTTGGTGTTGGGCCAATGATACTTACGGGCTTTAGCTGCTTGGGCGCATACTTTTGTGCACAGAAACTTATACACGCAAGATCGAACGTTGTTATTCCCCAAATAGGGATAGCTATGGGGTTCTTGCTGCAAATAGGAATCAGCTGGCTGCGCGCGCTTTTGAAAGGGTGTCGGTGCTGGTGCTGGTGTTGTGGTCCTGGGTGCTGGTGCGGTGTTGTCAGCTGGCAAAGCGCACCGGTGCCGGTGTCAGCTGTATGTGCGCGCTGTGGAGGCGCGGTAAGCTGGCTGTGCATTCTTGTTCCAGCCAGTCGCGTGTCAACAGGTCGTGGGATTTAATTTTTTTCTAAATCTTCCGCTTGTGTCATTCTTGCATATCGGAATATCGTGTATATATATATATATATATTTATTTATTTACGGTTTGATTATCACTTTGCCATTTTACCTCGGAAGAAAATTGTGGGCAGGCTGGAGCAGAGAAGAATTGTTGCACTTGTAAGGCACCGACACCAGCTTACCTTTGACAACTCGGGGGGCAGGCTGGCAATTGAGCAACGTTCTGCGGGGCTGCCATTTCAATTTCAGCATTTTGAGGCTACCCGCGCAGAGAAATTTGAGATCCTACTTTGACCGCAGCCGGGACTTCCCGTCAGAGGTGGGGCTTCAACTGTCATGTTTGCCACAAAATTTGTTTGATATGTAAGTATATGTAAGCATTTTCATAGATCGGTAAAGGCCAAACACTCACATGAAATGACAAGTCAAAGTCTTCAAAGAGATTCGGACATAGCGACAGTGTTGTTCCTTGGCAAGGCCAGCTCGAGCCTCCAAGAAGTTTTGCCCGAAGATGACGCTCGGCTTTGCGGCGTTCTATGGTCCAATTGCTGTATGCCGTAGGCACTAGATTCAATATGATTCAATGTATTAGCGCGAATAGAGGCTCTTTGAGCTCATTGCTTCTTTGCTTTGTTCCCCAAACAGTTTACTGTTGGGGTTCTATCTTAGAAAGAAAAGAGCTGGCCACACTCACTGGCCGCGCCCTGAACTCTGTGGCTGGGCTCTGTGGCCGCGCTCACGCTCCAGAAAGGCGCGCTTACAGCGTTCTGCAGGGAGAAAGATTTAGAGAAAGAGAAACTTAAAAAGAGAGAGAGAGAGAGAGAGAGACAGAAAGAAAGAAAGAAAGAAAGAAAGAAAGACAGAAAGAAAGAAAGAAAAGAAAAGAAAAGAAAAGAAAAGAAAAAAAAAGAAAGAAAGAAAGAAAGAAAGAGGGCGAGCGCGCGCTCGTGTGCTATGGACGGCTTACTGGGCTCTTGCCCTCCTCTTGTCCTCTGTGCTGGGCTCTGTGGCCGGGCCTTTTCCTCCTGTTGCCCTTGTCTTGGCCGCGCCCCTGAACTCTGTGGCTGGGCTCTGTGGCCCGGCTCTGTGTTGTAGTTGTCTTGGCCACGCCCCTGAACTTTGTGGCTCGTCTCTGTGGCCCGGCTTACTGGAGAGGAGTGTGGCCGAACAAATAGGGAGGTCAATGCCGACAAAAATTCATTGATGAAACAGTTTGCTCTTAGGGTGAAAGTACGGCGAACCAAGATCGATTTTTGACTAATATTGGTCTAAACGAATCGTTTTGAAACTGTTTGGGGTCTATGCTTGTATGACTTTGCTTTCTCTTGCCTTTCACTGTTGTCACCCAGAGAGCGCCTGAAAGCGCATGAAGTACTTGTTCTGCTGGGCTGAGCATGGCTGAGCAAATGACACACAATGAGTTTTCAAAGTTTGTTAAGAAGTGCAGGCCATGTTTGGCAAAAACCACGGGTGCCCGTGCTCTTGCACATACGAGCTGCAAACACAAGTCACGGCTTGCAATCTATATCAGCTATCAACTGTCGTTGCTGCATTGGTGATAAC